TCGTTTTTCCTTTTGGGCCACCCCACCTCGGTGGGATACGGCCAGTGTGTTGAAAGAAAGAAGAATAATTTTATTTACTACACATACATGTACATGGGATACAGACATAGCTGACATCAGTGACGTACTATTGTATAGAAAGCCACTTGTTATGCAGAGTATTTCAAGAAAATTAGGTCAGTGTCCCAGGATAGCACCCACACTAGTCGGCTAACACCCAGGTACCCATTTACTGATGGGTAAACATAGACAACAGGTGTAAAGAAACACGCCTAATGTTTCTACCCAGGCTGGGAATTGAATATTTACCAAAAATCATATATGGCTAACCCAAGCCAGGTACTAAAAATAAGCCACGTTGACTTTTTTGGGTTATCCAAGGTTCTCTACACATATGCTGCTACGTGTGATAATCTATATAGAGAAAATAACTTCTTTGTTTCAGGTTTATGGTGGAGTACGAATGTATATCACAGTTAGCCCTGTGCTACACTCTGTTTTCTCTAATATAAGCCCCCAAGACAGGGATAGGAGAATGGTATTTGTATACCATATCCTCTTCATACCTCCGTCGAACTGCTCGGTGTTATGCCAATTATTATTCATTCTGGAGTATTTAACATGTTTTATGTTATTTATATTGTTTCTTATGTCATATTAGATCAATTGTGATAGGCAAATAAGCTGTACTGTTGATATTAGCGTAATAATAAAGCATATTCTCCTGCTTCATGAGACTGAGCTCATGGCAACCGACAGTGGCTTCAAAGCCACCTTATCTTTAACCCTTTGACTGTCACGGCCGTATATATACGTCTTACGAGGTACCGTGTTTGACGTATATATACTCATAAATTCTAGCGGCTTCAAATCATAGAGGAGAAAGCTGGTAGGCCCACATGTGAGAGAATGGGTCTGTGTGGTCAGTGTGCACCATATAAAAAAAATCCAGGAGCACGCAGTGCATAATGAGAAAAAAAAATCTCCGACCGTTTTTTTTAATTAAAATGCCGACTTTGTGGTCTATTTTTGTATAGTATTTATGGTTGTATTCTTGTTTTCTTGGTCTCATTTGATAGAATGGAAATTATTTTATAGAAATAGAGGTAATTTTGATTGATTTTACTATAAAAAGAAGCTGAAAATGGAGCTCAAAGTAGGGGAAATGTTTAATTTTTGCCAATTTTCAAAAGTAAACAAATGATGTCATTGTCCAATACATGTCCAACTAGCCATTCTAATATGCAGTCATGAATGGGTTGATGTTATTTATACAATTATTACAGTATTGCAGCAGTCTGCATAATAGTAAATCTTCTATTTTTTGTTTGAATAAAAATTCAAAATAGAAAGCAAGAGTAATATCAGAGGGGCCTGGAGACATGAGTGATGAACAAAGAAAATGTTATTTTTAGAGCCAGGAATGTCTACATTGTTCATTCTGGACCTTATTTTGAAATTGTCATATTTTTTTAATTTTCGTAAAATTGGCGAAATTGCAAATTTCTGACCACGTTATTGGGTAGTTGAAATTGGCAAATGGGCAGTTTCTTGTACTCAATTGATAGAAAAAAATGGAGTTCTAAAGAAATAGCTATGAATTTGGTCGACTGAAACAATGGAATTAGTCGAAAATAGGGCTCAAAGTGGGCGAAATCGCCGATTTGTAAATATCACCGAGGTTGCTAACTTCGCGAGAGCGTAATTCTGTCAGTTTTCCATCAAATTTCGTTTTTTTGGTATCATTACAATCGGAAAAAGATTCTCTATCATTTCATAAGAAAAAATAGTTTTTTTTTTTTTTAAATTTTGCGACACCAGGAAACACCTCAGGATTGGGGGTTGCGGCAATCAAGGGGTTAATGGATAATGTACTGTGTCAGTGCTTTACACAACGACAAGCATTTCTTTTATTCATTGGAACCATGGCTAGGGCTAAAAGTAAGCAGGTTAAAACAATAAATGGAGAAAAAGAAATTGGAATGACTTATGCAGCAAGTACCGCCACCAAACAGTACCAACAGGTTGGTGTGGCGACCCTGGAAATTTGAAATTATGCTAGCCAAAATTAGTGCCGAATAACTGAAGGAACCGAATAACTGATTGCCAGATTTGTGATGGCGGACCTGTATTATTATTAATTCATGAATAAGATGATTCACCCTTAGGTCTGCAAATAACTAGTAAGAGTAAGACCGACATAGAAAATAATCAAAGAGAATTCTTAACTATAACATACCAAGTAGGCAGTGTTCTAGACTAGTAATAACGCACAGATGGCAAAAAGAGCGCATTAATATGAGTAAGTTGACAAGCAAGTAGTAAAGAAAGAAATTATAACTTAAGTTATTGGAGAGAGTAGAGTACCATATGGAATCAATAGGTGCCGAGGCAATTCATAGCCATCTTGATAGGTATAAATTGATAAGTGAATCTCAACACAGTTTTACTAAGGGGCATTCCTGTCTTACGAATTTACTATCTTTTTTCGGTAAGGTGTTTGAGGAGGTAGATCGTGGTAATGAATATGATATTGTGTATATAGACTTCAGTAAAACTTTTGAAAGAGTTCCACATCAGAGACTTTTGAGGAAACTTAAGGCACACGGAATAGGAGGAGAAATTTTTTCCAGGGTAGAGGCGTGGTTGACAAATAGGCAGCAAAGAGTTTGCATAAATGGGGAGAAATCAGAATGGGGGCACGTCACAAGCAGTGTTCTACAGGGGTCAGTGTTGGGCCCCTTGTTGTTCACAATTTACATAAACGATATAGATAAGGGAATAAATAGTGACATAAGTAAATTTGCTGACACCAAAATAGGCTGTCCAATTCAATCTATTGAGGACATTAGTGCACTCCAGGATGATTTGATTAGACTGATGCAGTGGTCAGAGAAGTGACAGATGCAGTTTAATATAGACAAATGCAAAGTGCTAAATGTTGGATAGGACAATAACCATGCCACTTATAAACTGAATAGTGTAGATCTTAATACTGGTTAGCAGTAATCTGAAACCAAGACAACAGTGCATAAGTGTTCACAATAATGCTAACAGAATCCTTGGCTTCATATCAAGAAGTATAAATAATAGAAGTCCTCAGGTTGTTCTTCAACTCTATATATCCTTGGTTAGGCCTCATTTAGATTATGCTGCACAGTTCTGGTCACCATATTACAGAATGGATATAAATGCACTGGAAAATGTACAGAGAAGGATGACAAAGTTGATCCCATGTATCAGAAATCTTCCCTATGAGGATAGGCTGAGGGCCCTGAATCTGCACTCTCTAGAAAGGCGTAGAATTAGGGGGGATATGATTGAGGTGTATAAATGGAAAACAGGAATAAATAAAGGAGATGCAAACAGCGTGCTGAAAATATCCAGCCAAGACAGGACTTGCAGCAATGATTTCAAGTTGGAAGAGTTCAGATTCAGGAAGGACATAGGAAAACACTGGTTTGGTAATAGAGTTGTGGATGAGTGGAACAAACTCCTGAGTACTGTCATAGAAGGTAAGACCTTGTGTAGCTTTAAAAATAGGTTGGATAAATACATGAGTGGGTGAGGTTTGGTGCTGTGCTCTTTCCTTAAGTGGAAGTGACCTGACTAGGTGGTCATTGTTCTAGGCCAGGGGGTGGCATGGACCTGCTTTGCATGGGTCAGTAGGCCTGTTGCAGTGTTCCTTCTTTCTTATGTTCTTATATAACAGAAGGGAAGAGTGGAGTGTAGGAGTACCAGATATTACAGATTCAAGAGTGGGGTGCATAAGTACCAGATATTACAGATTCAAGAGTGGGGTGCATAAGTACCAGATATTACAGATTCAAGAGTGGGGTGTAGAAGTACCAGACATTACAGATTAAGAGTGGATTGTAGTACCAGATATTACATATTCAAGAATAGAATATAGGAGTACCAGAAAGAACAAAAAGGCACAATACTGTGATTGGAACAATACACAAACAACCCTCACATAGGAGGGAGGAGCTTTTGATGACTTTGTACATGGTCCAAGTCGGACTGAAACGTCGTTGTAAGTTCCACACTCCCCTATGTGCAGATTGTTTGTGTAGGAGCACCAGATATTACAGATTCATGAATGGGGTGTAGGGACACAAGCAAGACTGAGGACCTATAAAGCTACAATGAATCAACCAACCTGCAAAATAAAGGAATTATCACAATAGAAAATTATAAATCATTAAGGACATCCTTAATCTTAGAAACTACTAAAAGATAAAGATAAAATGTACAAGTACATAATTAACATTGCTGTAGATACTGTACGTCATTTCTCCAGTTTGCAAACTTAATTTGCTGTTACTGTACATAGAGAAGACAGATCTTTATAAACTAATACTAATTACATAAAAAGTGCACAAAACAATTTGATAGTAGCTACTATTCTTAGATAACTAAGCACTACAACTGTTTTTACATGTAACTGGATAAAGTTTAAAATATGTTATAAAAGAAGACCTGAGGGACAAAATTCTTTCAAATCAAAATATTTGGGGAACAAAATATAATAAATATTAATAAAAATTTTTGAGAAATAAATATGAAACAGAATCTTGGTTACACTTAGATTCAATGTATTGTACATAAATCAGAAAATAATTAAAGGGCACATTAGCTTCTCAGAATAATTGCTGGAGGTTCACATAATAAAATACAAGTGTGGGCCTCCTATTCACTCACTGAGTACCAGATTAATAAATCAAATATCCAAATAGCATACAAAATACTTTTTATGACTGTTGGAATGTCAGTAAAGTTTACCTATGATTTGAAAACAAATACAGGAGACTGTCAATTAACATGTGATTTATTAACACTCTCTCTCAACACTAAAAAATTGTGGCATATTGCTGTATTTATCATTTAGCACTGAATAAATTTAAGGCAAATTATCTAAAGTGCAGTAAATAAAGGCTAATCTCTGATAATTTCATTTTAACTACATATTACTATGCCTTTAGCAATCATTTACTTACCTCAGTGTATTTATTCAAATGTCAAGTATGTTATTGATTGATAATAAAGTGTGAAAGATACACTAATTAAAATGAAGTAAAGGGATAATTTTGTGACATCACCATGATAATATCTGTGATTGAAGTCATAGAGTCACCACAGTATACACTGTTTATATATCAATTATTTATCACCATGGGAGTAACAGGTATGATAAACAGGTGAGATAATTTCAGCTATTTCCTGCATACCAATCAACTCATGCATTTTTTTTTTATATCTAACACACCGGCTGCCTCCCAATGAGGTAGGGTGACCCAAAAAAGGAAGAAACACCTTGACCATCACTCACCCTATCATTGTCTTGCCAGAGGTGCACCTGCCTTCCTGCTGCCTTTCTTCCAAGTAATCCTATTTTGTTCCATCATCTCTAAATATCCAAACCACCTGGATAATACTAAAAGTATTATCCAGACCTCTGGATAATACTTTTAGTAACCCCCACACCTCCTCCTAATTTCTAAACTATGAATTCTCTGCATAATATTCACACTGCACATTGCTCTTAGACACAACACCTTTACTGTCTCCAGTCTCCTCCTTAATGCAACATTCAAAACTCATGCTTCACATACTCTGATACATTCCCTTTTTACCTCCAGGTATAACATTCTTTGTCTTCACACTCAACTTTTTTCCCCTCATCAATTCTACGGTTCACTTCATCTTTCATGGACCTGTCAGCTGACAAATCCACTCCCAAATACATGAACACACACACACACGCGTGCACACACACACACACACACACACACACACACACACACACACACACACCACACACACACACACACACACACACACACACACACACACACACACACTCACTCACACACTCACTCACACACTCACTCACACACTCACTCACACACTCACACACTCACACACTCACTCACTCACTCACACTCACACTCACACTCACACTCTTCCAAATTCATCCACCAACCTCTGCAACTTCTCTTCAGAATCTCCCAAAAGTAAAATGTCATCAGCAAAAATTGACTGCAACAACTCCTACTATACATTAAATTCTTTATCTTTCAACCAAACACTTCTCCCCAACATCCTAGCATTCTTTTACAACCCCATCTATAAACCTTGTAAACAATGTGACATCATGCATCCGTTTATGGCTTACTTTTACCGGAAAACAATTTCCCTCCTCTCCTACATACCCTAGCCTAAGCCTCATTCCCCCCCATAAAAACTATTAACTGTCTTATGCCACACACTACCTGGAGAGGGTTCCGGGAGTCAATGCCCCCGTGGCTCGGTCAGAGACCAGGCCTTGTGGAGGACCAGGGTCTGATCAACCAGGCTCCTACTGCTGGCTGCACGCAAACTTACATACAAACCACAGCCCAGTTGGTCAGGTACTGACTTTAGGTGCCTGTCCAGAGCCTTCTTTGAAGACAGCCAGGGGTCTATTGGTAATCCCCCTTATGTATGCTGGGAGGCAGTTGAACAGTCTCGGGCCCCTGACACTTATTGTATTGTCTCTTAACGTGCTAGTGACAACCCTGCTTTTCACTGGGGGGATGTTGCATCGTCTGTCAAGTCTTTTGCTTTCATTGTGAGTGATTTTCGTGTGCAAGTTCGGTACTAGTCCCTCTAGGATTTTCCAGGTGTATATAATCATGTATCTCTCCCGCCTGCATTCTAGGGAGTACAGGTTCAGCAACTTCAGGCGCTCCCAGTAATTGAGGTGTTTTATCTCCATTATGCGTGCCGTGAAGGTTCTCTGTACATTTTCTAGGTCAGCAATTTCAACTGCCTTGAAACGTGCTGTTAGTGTGCAGCAATATTCCAGCCTAGATAGAACAAGCGACCTGAAGAGTGTCATCATGGGCTTGGCATCCCTAGTTTTGAAGGTTCTCATTATCCATCCTGTCATTTTTCTAGCAGATGCGATTGATACAATGTTATGGACCTTGAAGGTGAGATCCTCCGACATGATCACTCCCAGATCTTTGACGTTGGTTTTTCGCTCTATTTTGTGGAAGGAATTTGTTTTGTACTCTGATGAAGTTTTAATTTCCTGATGTTTACCATATCGGAGTAATTGAAATTTCTCATCATAAAACTTCCTACTGTTTTCTGCAGCCCACTGAAAGATTTGGTTGATGTCCGCCTGGAGCCGTGCAGTGTCTGCAATGGAAGACACTGTCATGCAGATTCGGGTGTCATCTGCAAAGGAAGACACGGTGCTGTGGCTGACATCCTTGTCTATGTCAGATACACCTACCATCCGACTTACGACCGAGTTCGGTTCCGAGAAACCGATCGTAAGTCGAAATAGACATAAGTCGAACTTTACTATTGAATATCAACATCACATTTTTGTAATGACTTCATTTTGTTTTATTTTGGTATTTCATGCTTTACTTTACTTTTTATGCTGTTAGTACTGTATTTTATACTGTAAGGTTTAGGAAAAACACTATGTACAACACAAATAGCTGTTTATTTCCCAGAAATTTGGCAAAAAAAAAAAAAACACGGTGGTAAGTCGAGTGGTCGTAAGTCGAGCAGGTCCTAAGTTGGATGGTAGGTGTATTTGGATGAGAAACAAGATGGGAGTGAGTACTGTGCCTTGTGGAACAGAGCTTTTCACTGTAGCCGCCTCAGACTTTACTCTGTTGACTACTACTCTTTGTGTTCTGTTTGTGAGGAAAGTATAGATCTATCTACCAACTTTTCCTGTTATTCTTTTAGCATGCATTTTGTGTGCTATTACGCCAAGGTCACACTTGTCGAAGGCTTTTGCAAAGTCTGTATATATTACATCTGCATTCTTTTTGTCTTCTAGTGCATCTAGGACCTTGTCGTAGTGATCCAGTAGCTGAGACAGACAGAAGCGACCTGCTCTAAACCCATGTTGCCCTGGGTTGTGTAATTGATGGGTATCTAGATGGGTGGCGATCTTGCTTCTTAGGACCCTTTCAAAGATTTTTATGATATGGGATGTTAGTGCTATCGGTCTGTAGTTCTTTGCTATTGCTTTACTGCCCCCTTTGTGGAGTGGGGCTATGTTGTTTTTAGTAACTGTGGGACGACCCCTGTGCCCATGCTCCCACTCCATAGGATGGTAAAAGCTCGTGATAGGGGCTTCTTGCAGTTCTTGATGAACACGGAGTTCCATGAGTCTGTCCCTGGGGCAGAGTGCATGGGCATGTCATTTATCGCCTGTTCGAAGTCATTTGGCGTCGGGATAATATCAGATAGGCTTGTGTTAACCAAATTCTGTGGCTCTCTCATAAAAAATTCATTTTGATCTTCGACTCGAAGTCTAGTTAGCGGCTTGCTAAAAACTGAGTTATATCGGGACTTGAGTAGCTCACTCACTTCCTTGCTGTCATATGTGTAGGACCCATCTTATTTAACTAGGGGCTCAATACTGGATGTTGTTCTCGACTTTGATTTGGCATAAGGAAAGAAATACTTTGGGTTTCTTTCGATTTCATTTATTGCTTTTAGTTCTTCCCGCAATTCCTGACTCCTATAAGATTCCTTTAGCTTAAGTTCGACGTCTGCTATTTCTCTGACCAGTGACCCCCTATGCATTTCAGATATATTGGCCTCTTTTAGCCGCTCTGTTATTCTTTCCGTCGCCTGTAAAGGGAGCGCCTGTCTCTTTCTATTTTACATCTACTCCTCCTTTTTCTTAAAGGAATAAGCCTCAAGCATACATCGAGTGCCACCAAGTTAATCTGTTCTAGGCATAAGTTGGGGTCTGTGTTGCTTAGTCTATCTTCCCAGCTTATATCGTTTAGGGCTTGATTTACTTGGTCCCACTTTATGCTCTTGTTATTGAAGTTGAATTTTAGTGAAGGCTCCCTCGTGACTAATCTCATTTTGTCAGTGTGGGGCTCCGCGCATACATGTCTGAACCTCAATTATGTTGTGATCTAAGTATATTGTTTTTGATATGGTGACATTTCGTATCAGATCATCATTGTTAGTGAAGATGAGGTCTAGTGCATTCTCCAGTCTAGTAGGCTCTATTATATATACAGTGGACCCCCGCATAACGATGGCATCACATAGCGATTTTTCCGCATACCGATTACTTTTATCGCAAAATTTTTGCCGCGCATACCGATTAAAAACCCGCTTACCGATTTTCGTCCGAGACGCGTCCAATGTGCCCTCAGCCAGCCTCACATGTGCCGGCCGTCCCATTGTTTACCAGCCAGCCTCCGCGGTAACATCCAAGCATACACTCGGAATATTTCGTATTATTACAGTGTTTTCGGTGCTGTTTCTGGAAAATAAGTGACCATGGGCCCAAGAAAGCTTCTAGTGCCAACCCTGTGGTAAAAGGGTGAGAATTAGTATGGAAAATTAAGAAAGATTTTGAAGGGTTTTTGGGGGTAACCCTGAGAAGCCTAGCCAGTTGTGGAATCCATTGGGGCCTACTTCAAAGATTAAGGAAATGTGTGCACATGGGTTGAACTGCAAACCTTTATAGATGAAAATCACCCTGACACAGCTGTTGCAAGCCGTGCTGGTGACTATTTCAATGACAATGTTGTGGCCCATTTTAGACAAATCGTAAGGAACGGAGGGACAGAGCTCTATGGACAGATTTGTTGTGCGACAGAGGTCCAGTGACTCTCAAGCTGGTTTCCCGTGGCATTAAAAAGAAGAAGGGGAAATAAACCCGGAAAAGGACTTGCTACCTCAAGTCGTAAAAGGAAGGGGGTTCCCCTTCTAAACATAAGAAGATAATGCCCCTCCCCCCCTCCCATCCCCTCAATCATCACCAGATCTTCAATAAAAGTAAGTGTCATGTAATTGTGCATGCCTTTTTCAGTTTGTGTGTATTAAAATTAACATTTCATGTGGTAAAAAAAAAATTTTTTCATACTTTTGGGCGTCTTGCACGGATTAATTTTATTTCCATTATTTCTTATGGGGAAAATTCATTCGCATAACGATTATTTCGCATAACGATTATCCCTCTTGCACGGATTAAAATCGTTAACCGGGGGTCCACTGTATGTCAAACACGGTGGCTCGTAAAACGTATACAGTAGGGCCCCACTTATACGGCAGGTTAGGTTCCAGGCTACCACCATAAAGCGGAAATCGCCGTAAAGCAGAACACACCTTTTTTCCACTTAAAAATGCATACAAATATGTACTAGATAACAAGTTTACACTAACATATATTAAGTTAGTAAGTTTATTCAGATATACACAAATGCAATTACATAGATTATCAAACATAGCAGCATATGTGTAAAGTACCTAGGATAACCCAAAAAAGTCAGACAGTTTGACTTATTTCCATTGGGGTTAGCAGTAGAACTAGGC